ATGAATTACTATGGGGGATGAATTACTATATGGGGGATGAATTACTATATGGGGGATGAATTACTATGGGGGATGAATTACTATATGGGGGATGAATTACTATATTGGGGATGAATTACTATGGGGGATGAATTACTATGCTTACTATGGGGGAATATTACTATACTTACTATGGATGACACATACACATCATTCATCTACTCTTGGTCCGGCCCCCGGGTCCAATATATGAACCCATTGCGGCCCTCAAGTCAAAATGTTTGCCCACCCCTGGCCTATGCCCATGGCACAAGCATTGGATATTCATCCTTTCAAGTGTGGAATAGGGGTTGTAGTACTGCAACCTACCTTCTTTACTGGATGTAAGCATCAATAGCTTCTGCTCCTTAGCATCCTTCATTGGTGGGAGGCTGCTGGCTCCAATAATGTGTCTTTGAGCTGCACACTATATGCATGTAAACGTTAGCACAAACATTTACATGCATACAGCAAAAAACTTGTCTCTGAAAGCAGGATTTGGGCATTTGGGATCTGAACGCTGCTCTAGAATAGAGATCCTGAAGCATGGACACTTTGGCTTTAATAGATCCTTAGGCTTATTTTTCAGGATCTGAAGGCAACATTTTGTGTAAACCATTATACAAACTATTTTGTTTCTAATGTTCCTCTGTGCAAGGGATATACCTCCTGATATACAGTCCGTATGGAGAATATAGTGGCTTGCTGATGACGGAACTCCCCAAGAAGACATACAGTAGAATCCAAAGCACTTTTAACCAGGTTTGCATACAAAATTATGTTTTTCTGGATTCTTGCAGGTCAAACGCTACTGTATTCAGTTCTTAGCCTCTGTGATCCCTAGTGGCTGGATTAGAACTGGATAGAATAGGTTAGCCGGTGAATGGTATAAACTAGAACTATTTTAAAATGAACGGATTATCTTTTCAGTTATTTTTTAAATGTACAATATGTAATAATATACTATAAAATGTAAATCAATAAATAATATGTAATAATAACAATTATAAATAAAATAATATACAAATAAAATAAATAGATAATAATAAACATAAGAGATAAATATAATATGTAAATAATCTTGTTTATGGGGGTGTTTACATGCCACAGACATGATGTCTCATTCCCAAAGGCAAAGACTACCCAACATATTGCAAATGCGACCCATTCGAGCGAATGCGGAAATGCCTCAATGCATGCTGTTTTGGTGCAATTGTTGGGCAAAAATGGGGTTAATACAGGTAGTGAGGAGGCATCACAGTACCTCCTCACCACCTGTCAATCAAACACAAATGCAGATTGCTTTTTAGACACATCTAAACTTAGCCTTATTCCACCAGAATATTATTTCCTGGTTCCATCAGGATAGTGGAAATCCCAGCTTTTCTCCTAAATCCGAACCCTAATGGATCTCAGCAGTCTGGTTCCTGTTTCCCCATTTGGGCACTCATGACACCCCACTAGCAGTGTGCACAGAAGAACATGATCATGACATGATTAACAGCTATTTGTTTGCTTGTATTGAACAGATTAAACAAATGGCTTTCAATTGTTTATTTAACAGACCAAAAGGGAGCAAAAAATTGTTGAGGTTTACATACACTTTAACTCCTTCTCACTCGTCCTATTGTACAATGACAGCCGGGTAGGAACCCTATTATTCTGGGAGTACGTCATATGACATCCTTCCAGGATCAACCCTTGCGCATTGCCCACAGTGCCGCTCAGCGCAATCTGTCACCAGTCACGTCCAAGGGGCCTGGCTGATGACAGATCACTACACCGACCCACTACCAGTGTCATGTGATTGATGTGACCAGTCACAGCAGATCACAAGACAGTTGTAAACAATGAATGGCTTCCTTACATGCCAGTCATTGCCTACAACTGTGCTGCGAGCTGTGATTGGTCACAGTGATCACATGTACAGACTGGACCAATCACAGCCCATCTGTAGCATGTGATTGGCTGTGGTCAATCACAGCTGATCAGAACAAAAACTACTAGGTGAATAATTTTCATTCAGTAAAAATGCTTGCTTAAACCAATGTAATTTGTTGGTATAAGCAATCATAATATGTAAAAAAAAAGTTTAAAAATTTTAAAAATCCTGGTCACTTGCCCAGAATAGTACAATGTTACAATGATAACATTTTATTGCTCTGGTCAGAGAAGTAGAAAAAAAAAATAGCAAAAGAATAAACATTTAAAAAAATTTTTAATAATGTTTTCAAAAATTATATATATTTTTGTTCTTTTTTACATACTGTTGCCAGTCAGTGTTCCTGATCACTGCCATGCCAGTCATATGATGACGTTTTACTGCATTGGTGACAGTATGTGAAAAAAAAATTATGAAATTTATTTTGAATTTTTTCATTTTCCACAAAATTATGACAAAAAAATGCCTCTTACTAAATACCTCAGACTGTCTACATTCAGAAAAGCGGTCATTTTGGGTGATATCTGTACTGTCCTGGCTTTTTTGGACCTCGAGAAATGAGATCGGCCGTCAGTACATCAGGATTTATCAATTTTTAGATACATACCATAGTTTGTGGACTCTTTAACTTTCCTACCAACTAAATAATATACACTAATTTGGGTTATTTTCACCAAAGACATTTAGCAGAATACATTTTGGCCTAAATTTGTGTAGAAAGATTGTTTATTTTCAAAATATTATAACAGATATGAAGAAAAACAAATTTTTTTTTCAAAATATTCAGTTTTTTTTAATTTATAGTGCAAAAAATAAAAAACCCAGTGGTGATTAACTTACACCAAAAGAAATCTTTTTTTGTGTGAAAAAAATGATAAAAATGTAATATGGGTGCAGTGTTGCATGACTGTGCAATTGTCGTTTAAGGTGCAACAGTGCTTAAAGGTGAAAATTGGCCTGGGCAGGAAGGGGGTTAAAAGTGCCTGGTAGGCAAGTGGTTAAGTACCTGAGTACTACAGCTATGCCTTTACTGGAAATGAGAAGCCATGGACAAGGAGTTTGTATTACTTGTAGGAATTTAAAGATATATTTGTTTCAGTATTGACTGGCATGTACCTGTCATGGAAATGGTTAATTTTATCATTGGGTCAGTATCAGGTGTTCCGAGTTTTGTTGTTGTTGGTTGCATTAAGAATGGATCACTCACCCAAGTCCTGTAGATCATCTCTTAGCTGTGACATTTACTTAAGGTCAGTATTTTTCTTTATGGTGTGTTTTATAAAACAGGTTGCTTTGTTCACTGGGCTGAGAGTTAAATAGCAGCTTTTCTGGATCTCATTAACAATAAAGGTTGCAAAATGCTACTGAAGATCAGATAGTAAGGGAAATTGAATGAATATGATGAAGGCAGCATTTCATTAGCTGTTAGGACTTTGTGCTACACAAGATGTGAGTGCATTGGCAGCTACAGGGGCGGACTGACAACTCATGGGGCCCCCGGGCAATTAGGGATCATGGGGCTCCTCTGTCCTTGCCCAAACTCAAATCACACCCAAAAAAGCATATGAAAGGTACCAGGGACATCTCATGGGGGCCCCCTACTGACCCCAGGCCCTCGGGCAGTGCCTGAGTTCCCCAATGGTCAGTCCACCCCTGGGCAGCTATATTTAGTATGGCCTGTAGGTATTACAATTGTGCAGAAAATTGTAAATATATGTTAAAGGCTCCTACTGTAACTGGCCATACACTGATAGATCTTTCATTGAAAATGATAGGCAATGAGAAGTTTGCTCTCTGAGACTGGATGCAACTTTCCCTTTTACCATTTGAGTACCTGCCTGTATATACCCGATTACCAGGCCATTTTTCAGTTTTCAGTGCTGTGATAGTTTGACTGACAGTAGTATACTGTGGAGGGTCAGTCCGGTTCAGGGATAGGAGGGGGTTGATTTGGAAGGGGAGATCCTTCCCTTACAGCCCTGCCTATTGAAAAGCTGATAATCAAACCAAATAATTTTGCGCTAGCAAAACAAAAGAGAATATAAAATAAAGACTGCTGTATTCACTACACAATCTAGATACTAGATGTAAAACAACTACTTCAAGAAAACAGGTCACGTTGTCTCTTAAAAATTCCAAAGTGCAGTTGTGCATACAGTATAACTATATGAAACAATATTATTTATTTATAATAGTGTAAACTCAATACATGCAATAACCAAAAAAAAAAAAAAAAAATCGAAAACCAAATATAAACAAAATTAAAATTGCACCATATGCCTAGAGCATGTGTAATACTTTAACCAAACTTTCAAAATAAAGATAAATAAGAGTGTATATACGTACAGATGGACAAATGTGTATATGGACAATGATAAGCTCAGAAGCACTCAAACTTTAAAGTATATATAATATAACCCAGTACCCCACTCTCAAAACAGAAATAAACATAAAGTGTATATATACACGTGCAGATGGGCAAATGTACATATGGGCAACAAAATAAACAAGCATAAATACAAATATGTTATTTAATATTGCAAACAAAAAAAATGATGAATAAAGCAAACAAACATGCAAAATGCCTCTACAGATGGATAAATATCCTGGTGAACAGTTCAAAATCCACATGTAACCACTTGCCTACAGGGCACTTATACCCCCTTTCTGCCCAGGCCAATTTCCAGCTTTCAGCGCTGTTGCACTTTGAATGACAATTACGCGGTCATGCAACACTGTACCAATATGAAATATTTATCATTTTTTTGTGACAGATAGAGCTTTATTTTGGTGGTATTTAATCACCTCTGGGTTTTTTATTTTTTCTTAAACAAACCAAAAACCACTGAAAATTTTGAAAAAAAACCCTTTTTTTTTCTTAGTTTTTGTTATAAAATTTCGTAAATAAGTGATTTTTCTCCCTCACTGATGTGTGCTAATGAGACTGCAGTGATGGGGGACTGATAGGCTGCACTGATGGGCATTGACAGGCATCGCTGATGGGCACTGAAAGGCAGCACTGATATATGGCACTGACTGGCACTGTTAGGCGGCACTGATAGGCAGCACTGACGGGCACTGATAGGCGGCACTGATGGGTGACACTCAGATGGGCACTGATATGTGGCATTGATGTGCACTGGTAGGCACTGATATGTGGCATTGATGTGGCACTGATGGGCACTGGCAGGTGGCATGGATGAGCACTGAGAGCTGGCACTGATGGACACTGACAGGTGGCACTGCTGGGGCTACACAGATCATCAGGGCACACTGATCATCAGTGTTCTGATGATCAGTGTACATGTCCCCTCCGAGGAATGTCGATTACCGGCTCTGCTCTCCTCTCGAGCTGTCAGCCTGACAGCTCGTGAGGAGAGAAATGCCGATAACCAGCATTTCCCAGTTTACATACAATCAGCTGTGATTGGACACAGCTGATCACATGACTAAGCCGACATCTTCGGCTCTTTCCGTGGATCGGTGATCCGCTGTGTCCAAGGGCACAAGCGTACCGCCGATCGCCGCGCTGTGCGCTCACGGAGCGCGGTGACAATGGGGGGACGTCATATGATGTCCTCCCAGAACGAGAGAAACCACCTTGCGCCCGTCATTGGACTATATGGCGGGCGGGAGGCGGTTAAGGTAAACTCCTTACCAGAGACACTGATCCCACCTTGCTGTAGATATGATCCTGTGTAAGTGTGCTTAGCAAGGGACCACCATAGTGCAGTATGTTAAAACCAAGAGCTTCTAATATGGTAATGTACTTACAATAGGAAGACAGTCAAAGGCATATAACAAAGGATGAGTACTGCTGGATTCCTGCCAGTGTGCCTGATAACTTCACATGTTCAGCCCCACCTTAACGTGTTTCACTGTAAACAGCATCATCGGAGGATAGAGGCATTCTGCTATCCTCTTGGGATTTTCCATCCTGATTTGGCCATGCCTCTATCCTCCTGAAGATGCAGTTTACAGTGAAATGCGTTGAAACAGGGCTGAACACGTGACTTTATTATGCACGCTGCTGGGAATACAGCAGTCTTTTGTTATATGCCTGTGATTGTCTTCTTATTGGAAGGAAAACCCTGTGTTGTTTTGTATTTGCTAACCACAAACGTTGACATTACATTTATAAATTGTGTTGTGGATATCTGATTACCCTCTGAATTTGACAACTGGTGGAGGTTGCAGGCAGTTTGAGGGGTCACGACCAATTTTATGTTGTAGTTTAAAATTACACAGGCTTTAACCTCCTTGGCGGTATGATTATTTCAGATTTTTGGTGCTTAAAGCGGTACCATTATTTTGCATGGAAATTTGGCGTTTTATATTGTAGGCCTGTAATTCTTAGGAACAACTCACTGACATCTGTCTGAACAAGAGTCTAGTAAACATCCCAGGTAGGATAAAACTTGAAACACAAAATCATAAATTATAATTTAATAAATAATCATAAAAAATAATAATATAATAATAAATTTAATTCAATAATATAATCAAACTAAAAACACTGAAATTTGAAATATAGCACCAAGTTCGCACATCACTGAGCAAAGTCACAAAATCGTTTTCAGTGTCTGATGACGAATTTCCCCACGAATCATTATCACTCAATTCTGCAAGTGGTTCTGATTTACTATCGCTGTTCTCTAGCTGGTCTAAAACCGCTTTTGACCTAAAGGGAAGCTTTTTGGACGCCATGGACGTTTCTCAGTTTCCAGGTAGAAAGAACAGTAAAAATGCAGGCAGGGCACAGGACAAAGCACTCAGGACAACAAATGTATGTGAAATGCTTTGATACAGTAATGTTTTACTATGTGATCTTAGTGATTTTTGTGAATGTCACTTTTTGTCATTTTCAAATTTCCCGCCGTTCCGTCCCCGTACGTCCCGACACTCACAGAGGATGGAACCCAGGTGACAGATGCTGGCATCTGCCGGATTATATTGCCGGGAACACTGCAGGAGGGACATCGTGGGAGTGCAGGACAAGGTAAGTGACCAAGGGATTGCGGAGCAGCGCCGCAAGGTAAGCCCGAGTGTAGCTTGGGGTTACCGCTTGTGGTACTGAAACTTTACCCTGAGCTACACTCGGGAATACCGCCAGGGAGGCTACAAAAGCAGAAAAAGTTATGGAGTGGCTAATGAAGCAGTCATCATGGGCCAATACACAGGTAGTGGAAGCCTAACAAGAGACTAGTTGTTTGCTGGCTGAAAAGATAATGGCACTACAAAAGGCAGTGACCCACAAGCGGGAAGATTCCAAGATGGCTCCATTTATTATGCAAGATGATTGCCACTAGAGAAAGTCTGCCTGAGACACACTGGGTGGATGTACTGGCTTCTTCCTGATGGCCAATCCCAAGCAGGCATACTTTGACTTGGCCGCAGGATCAGCATAGGGCGATAATATGTCCACTCACAACTGTATACCCTGATGCATCTGCTCCAAGACTGGCTACAAGCTGAGGTTCTGACCTCCACTAAGAAGCAGGTTGCCCCGAACCATTTTGTGGGTAGTGTTCCGAAAGAACTGTGCCATAGAGTGTCCAAGCCTGAACTCCAATCCATGGATGAGATGGTCACTGTGGGACAATACAACAATGCAGAGGGCTTCTTTGGAGGGCCTTAATCAACAAGAGAGATGCTCTGTAGCAATGGGGTGCACCTCAGTGCCTAACCGTCCCCAGAATCGATGCATAGATGGAGAACTCCGCAAGATTCATTACTGGACACAACACCAACTTGGTCGTCTGGCTGCCCAGTGCTCAAAGTGGGATGAGCCAATGGAATGTGATATGGACTGGTGTAGATCCATGCATGTGTACAGCCTCTGTACTCCTCACAGTGTAAGTTATAGTCAAGGGAACACCAATGCTTTTTAGTGATCCTTGACTATGCCATTAAATATTCAAAGGCGATCGCTTTAAGAAATATCTTTTTCAAAGGTATCACATGGAAGTTGTTTCACATATTCAAGGCACGCTGTTTATCTAAGGTTATAAAGAGCCTTTGTAAATTGTTTAAAATTCAACACTTGTGAACTTTGTTACATCATCTGCAAACTGATATGATGGTGGAATGGTTCAACAAGGCCCTAAAGATGATGCTTATTTAGCTGAGCGTAATAATCTGACATTTTATGCTTACATTTATAGAATATTGAAAAAGAGAAAGACACAGCATAATAAAGGATGTTCTTCCTTTATTGTATTATTGGATATTGGTACTTACACATTGGTTGAGTAGAATGTTTAAAGTGGTTGTAAAAGGCTGAAGGCTTTTCACCTTCATGCATTCTGTGCATGAAGGCAAAAAAAACCTGTGTACAGCAGTTTTTCCAGCCCTATCTTGATCCAGCGATGTGCAAAATGTGCCCAGGTCTCTCTATCCTCATTGACTGAGACAGCAGAGGTAGCTATTGGCTCCCTCTACTGTCAAGTACAGCCAGTGAGCCAATGAAGAGAGAGCGGGGGTGGGGCCCTGCCACACTCCATGTGTGAATGGACACACAGAGCAGTGGCTTTGGAGTGAGCCTGCTTAGGTGCCCCATAGCAAGCAGCTTGCAATAGGCAGGAGGGAGGGGCCAGGAGCACCAGCGGGGGACTCGAGAAGAGGAGGATCAGGGCTGCTGTGTATAAAACCATTACATAGAGCAGGTAAGTAAAACATGTTTGTTATTTAAAAAAAAAAAAAAAAAAAAAACCCTTTAATATCAATTTAATGATGTGGCAGATCTGATGTTGAATATAGGTAAAACAACTGCAATGTAATACTATAACAAAATGTCATGGACACTATGACTATGTGTACCAATCCAGTACTTGAATATTGTAACTAACAATGGATGCTGTAAGTTTTGTTATGACTATTGTGTATGTTGTAATAGTGCATTTTTGTGTTCACCAAAAAAAAAAAAAAAAAAAAAAAATCTGATAAAAAAAAGAGATACAGCTTGTTGATAAATGTGGTCATGACTGGGAATGTTTTCTGCCTCATTTATTGTTTGCCGTGCAGGAGGTTCCCCAGGCTTCCTTTGGGTTTTTGCCCTTTGAGTTGGTTTATTTCAGACACTACAAAAAATGGCCACTGCCCCAGTCTATAACACAGCAAGGAACACACGGAAGGGTGACGCATGTCAACAACAAAAAAGAAAAGTTCCCAGCTCTAACTTGCCAGCCAGCCTGCAAACAAACCACATTAACCTGTCTAACAGTATGTGTTAAAAACAGGGGTTTAGTTAGCACACATTATCAAACACATGCGTAAGTTACAGAGCCTCGTCATGGCACCCCCCAGTATTCTGTAGTTCCTAACTCTCCAATTTTAAGAGCCCCCATAGTAGAGGCACATGTATTTAATAGATAGACCAAGGGCAGTTGGACCTGAGGGAGCCCATCCCTCCTTAAAGGTACAGGAGCGCACTGGACACCCAGCATGTAGCAAAATGGCAGCTAAGGTGACCAGTGCGCCCCCTCGACCAACAATTCAACAGTACAAAAAAGTATACTGTTAGACAAGTTAATTCGGTTTGTTTGCAGGCTGGCTGGCAGGTTAGAGCTGGAAATTGTTCTATTTTTTTTTTACATGCGTCGCCCTTCCATGTGCTCCTTTCTGGGAAGGTCAGTTATAGACTGGGGCAGTGGCCATTTTTTGTACTGTTGAATTGTTGGTCGAGGGGACGCACTGGACACCTTAGCTGCCATTGTGCTACATTCTAGGTCAGAGTTTCAATCTGGTGATTGGGTTCTTGTGTTGTGCCAGCTATTGAGAGCAAATTCCTAGCAAAGTGGCAAGCACCCTTTTAAGATTGTCGGAAAGGTATGAAAGGTTAACTATAAGGTTTAGCAGCCTACAAAGAGAAAGCCTTACAAAATCTACAATGTGAACCTCATACTAATATACAGATTAAAATGTTGGGATAGCAGAAACACTGTCCCCTTTTCAAAAACAAGAATAATGGAAATTCTTGCAGAGGAATAGAGAAATCTTCTCAGACTTGCCAGGTTTGACTAAAGCAGTGTTTCTCAACTCCAATCCTCATGGATCCCCAACAGGTCATGTTTTCAGGATTTCCCTCAGATGAAACAGCTGTGGTAATTACTAAGGCAGTGAAACTGATCAAATCACCTGTGCAAAATAATGGAAATCCTGAAAACATGACCTGTTGGGGGTCCATGAGGACTGGAGTTGAGAAACACTGGACTAAAGGAATTGGGCATAACATTCTCACAGACCCTAGCGCCCACATGAACAAAAAGGAAACCAAAAAAGAAACAGGATGAGACTAGAAACATTAATCCATAATGCTTTTCCCAAGGCCTGCTGTTAAAATATATTGCCGGAGCTTAAAAATATGTTAGACTTCTGGGGTTATTCAGGAGTCCTCCAGTAGTTGGTAAACCCTATAATCCTAGGGCCCAAGCCAAACGGAACTTGACTGTTCTGTAATGATTTTTCAA